CCAGTGGTCAATCTTCATTTGTTTCATATCAAAAATTCTTGAAAGAGTAGCTGTCAAAGATCTCATAGATCATCTGCAGAGGAATGGCTTATTTGAAGAGTTTCAGTCAAGTTTCAGAGCCCATCACAGCACAGAAACAGCTTTAGTGAAGGTTACAAATGATCTTCTTTTGGCCTCTGACAGTGGACTCATCTCTGTCCTGCTAGACCTCAGTGCAGCTTTCAATACTGTTGACCATAATATACTATTAGAACGATTAGAGCACGCTGTAAGTATTACAGGTACTGCTCTGCAGTTGTTTGTATCATATCTATCTAACAGACTCCTCTTCACACACTGAGGTTAATTATGGAGTTCCACAGGGTTCAGTGCTAGGACCAATTCTACTTACATTATACATGCTTCCCTTAGGCAGTATCGTCAGAAGGCATAGCATACTGTACATTTTCACTGCTAGGAATGTCTTAAAGACATAAAGACCTGGATGGCCGCTAACTTTTTGCTCCTTAATTCAGATAAAGCTAAGGTTATTGTACTCGGCCCTGAAAATCTTAGAAACATGGTATCTAACCTGATTCTTACTTTGGATGGCATTACCTTGGCATCCAGTAACACTGTGAGTGACCTTGGAGTCATTTTTGACCAGGACATTCAATGCACATATTAAACAAATATGTAGGACTGCTTTTTTCCATTTGCGCAACATCTCTAAAATGAGAAATATCCTGTCTGAGAGTGATGCTGAAAAACTAGTTCATGCATTTATTACTTCTAGGCTGCACTACTGTAATTCATTATTATCACAATGTCCTAAAATCTCTCAAAAAAGCCTTCAGTTTATCCAAAATGCTGCAGCAAGAGTACTGACAGGGACTAGAAAGAGAGAGCATATTTCTCCTATATTGGCTTCCCTTCATTGGCTTCCTGTTAAATCCAGAATTGAATTCAAAATCCTGCTCCTCACACACAGGCCCCATCCTATCTTAATGACCTTATAGTACCATATGACCCCATTAGAGCACTTCACTCTTGCACTGCAGGCTTACTTGTTGTTCCTGGAGTATTTAAAAGTAGAATGGGAGGGACAGCCTTCAGTTTTCAGGCCCCTCTTCTGTGGAACCGGCTTCCAGTTTGCAATCTCTGCATCGAATCATACTTATTAATCTCTGCCTCTCTTCCACAGCATGTCCTTTATCCCACCTTCCTTCTCTAACCCCAACCAGTCGCAGCAGATGGCCCCACCCCTCCCTGAGCCTGGTTCTGCCAGAGGTTTCTTCCTGTTAAAAGGGAGTTTTTCCTTCCCACTGTTGCCAAAATGCTTGCTCATGGGAAGTCATATGATTTTTGGGTGTTTCTCTGTACGTATTATTGTAGGGTACCTACCTTACAATATAAAGCACCTTGAGGCGACTGTTGTTGTGATTTGGTGCTGTATAAATAAAACTGAATTGAATTGAATTGAATTATACTCACCTCAGCTGATCATCCTAATCATTAGGATGCTACTTCATATAATATAATATATAAAGCATCATAAAAAGAAGTTTACATATGCAGTAATGATCACTGATTCATTATTGACTGAGCTGTGGATTATCCTCTGATATTACTAATAATTGGAGTGGGGGATAATTGAGAATATATGATGGTGATAATATCTAAATCACCCAGCACCTAAGAAATGAATGTAAGAGAGAGGAAAAGGAGAAAAGAAAAAAAAATACTAGGATATGTGACTTGCTATAACTATTGGCCCAGTTTACATATTATGGTGGTTATATACTTCCTGTCCACTTTTTTAGTTATACCTGTTGCAAATATCTATTCAGCCGCTCAGTGCATTTAGGTATGTAGGTCAAGACAACCTGCCGAAGTTCAAACTAAGTATCAGAATGCGGGACGTATTTCAGAAACTGTTGATCTACTGGGATTTTCCTGCACAATCTCTAAGGTTTATCAGAGATATAAAATATTGGTGAACAGCAGTTCTCGATGAGAAAATACCCTGTTGATGTCAGAGGTCAGAGGAGAATGGCCAGATTGCTTCATGGTATCCTTATACAATACAATACTTTATTGTATTACATTATACTATAGTTTACACCCTAGATGGAGGCATTCTTTATGTTAAAGTTAAGATCCATGATGGGAGTTTTAAGTCTGTTTTCCCTCACTGTATAAAAGGAAGCTTGGATACTGTGTAAAGTGAGTGAGGGAGAAGCAGGTCAGTTCCATTCCATTTATCATTTATGGCATGCAGCCAGAGTGTAAAGTTCACAGATGAGCCATGTTGTAGAAGCATTTGAGCTCTTTGAATGATGTTTACTTTTCCTTTTGAGGATGTACACCACTGCAGACTTCATGGTAAAAACAGAAGACAAGCGTGCCTGAGGTGGACTCAAGTGCTGAGCTCAGCTCATTCAAGTGTGCTTGAAATTCAGTGAAAAACAAAGCTTCATGAATAAAGAGCTTTAAAAATGTTCCTGGCTTCACTCTGAAGCTCACTACATGCTAATTTTTCAATTCCTTCTTTATCAGTACCTGCTGAGGACATGAAGTACCTTTGTCTTTGTGAGTCTCCAGTGTATACAAAACATTTACACTGTTATTTGCGGCCCGTGTTATATTACATTACCAAATGTTATCCAGTTATGGTTTTGTCTGCACTTTTTTTTCTTTCATTTTGTTCTAACGTAAAGAAATACTCACAGTGAGAATGACAAAAAAATAGAGACAAAACACATCCACAAACAAGCAAAATCATTCTACACAACACAAAATAACTTTACACAAAGGAAAAGGAGCAGAAAGACACACAAACCCTGAAACTGTTTATATTAGTCCAACACATGCCTCATATGAGCACCACTGTGTGTATTTTTATACTGAATGTTGTCAGTGTTTACTCAGCTCTGTATATTTAATAAGCTGCGATAAGAAAAACACAGGCTTCATCCAAGGTACACATGCATTATCAGACTCAATGAGCACTCAAAGATCAAATTCTGTGGTGACAATAGAAATTTACATTATAATAAGTGACACTGCTTACATGATGATATAAAGTGCATTTACTCAAATACAATACTTAATATAAGAGGGTATTTCTACGTTGTGCTACTTTGTACTTTTTATCTTCTTATAATGATGATCCAGTGATACAATGTATTATTATTATAATACAAATAATGACTTTATCTGTCTGTCTGTCTGGAGGTGAAGTGTGATTCTCAAGTGAAAGTGAAAAAATTCTTTCAGCACTATGGAAAACAGCTCATTCAAAACAAATCAATTTCCAGGCTCTCGTGTAGCACCACTTTACATGTATTAAATCTGAATTTATTAAACACTGGCTGCACATGGCAGACACATGCCTGATTAAATGCTTTAGATTCATTGACTGCAGGTTTAAAACCACATAAATATGCCTGAAAGAGCAATAAAATGCAAATATCAATTAAAATCAGAAAACTGTGACGTGAGTGAAAATATATGTGTAAGAAAACATATCAACTTAATTTTTATATGCGAAGGTTAACAATGAATGAATAATTTAGGGATCAGATATACACATGCTGAGTGATGATACATTAGTGTTGAATGCAATTTTCTGTCAGGCTGGAGTACTTTCTGTTTTGTTGGTGAATTGGCATAATCTCATCTACTTTTTAGAGTAACTAGTACTGTAAAAAAGTCTGGAGCCACCCTCCTTCAAGGAGCATTCTAGTAATTTTTAAGAATAAAAAAGTGACTGGAATCAAGAATAAGCCAATTTTGTCTAAACATAACAGAAAACTAAGCAAAACACATAATTTCTTTCCATTTCTTTAGTTAAATCTATGAAAAATGTCAAACAGACAAATAATTACCAGACCTGAAAAGTATATAAAAGAGATAAACAGCATCTGAAAGTCATACCCTTAAGAAATAGGAAAGACCTGACATGGGAACTGATTTGCAAATCTGGACCTCGAGTCTACTTTTTATTGAAGCATCAACAGAAACAGTCCCAGTCAAAGGGTGGCTGTCTAGAAGCCACCTTAAAGGAAGGGAAATGGGCTGGGCAACAACTGGACTGAAAATCAGTGGCAACAGGTCTTATGAAGTGATAAATCAAACAATGCTGGTTCAAATCAACTGATAGGTCAGGAGAGAGGTGCAATAGTGAGTTTTTACACCCAGCTGTAAAATACAGATTGAAACTCTGTCATCGTTTGGGCTGGACTGATAACATCTGAAGCGGGTGCCAGTGCTGTGGATCTTGACAAAAATGATAGAAATCAACCATCTGTTTGAGTTTGTCTCACTGTACAGAACCATCTGGAGAACATCTGGCTTAATTTTTCAGCATGACAATGATCTCAAACACGCCGCAAATGCAGTAAAAGCATACCTCAATAGAAAAACACTATCAGTCATGGATTGGCATCCTCAGAAATCGAACCTCAACATTACTGAAGCAGCGTGGGATCACCTTGACAGAGAACAGAATAAAAGACAGCCAAAGAAGAAGAAGCTTTAGATGTCCTTCGAGAAGCCTGGAGAACGATTTCTGACGACTGCTTAAAGAAATGAAAAGAAAGTTTGTCTAAGAGAGTTCAGGCTGTGGTGAAGAAAAACGTTGTTGACTTTGGAGATTATAAGAATTGTACATACTCTGTTTTGTCATTTATGTTTGCACATTTCATTAAATCACTGCTCCTGTTTCCCATTTTTCCTAGCAATATATAAAGACAAGTTATTCATTATGTAAATAAACCAACCCCAACTCCAACTCCAATCCTTTGACCGGTTTAAATGAGTCAAAGTTCAACAGGATGCGCCAAAAATCTGATGTCAGTATTACAAACAGCAGTTTCCCTTTAAAATGATCAGACATACCTGTTGTGTTTCTGAAGACTTCGCCATTCTGGGTTGGGAGTGTTTTTTTCAGTATTCTCCGATATTTTACAGAGCAAAGACTAAACTGACTAACCAAAAGAAAGAGGAGACTATAGCAAAGTTTTCTTTATTTAAAAAGTTATTAAGCAGTGCAATTGCAATCTGTAGTACAAATTCAAGGCGCAGTATTTCCAGGAACACAGGTAACAACAGGCAAAGGCAAAAATACAAAGTGAACCTGAGCTGCAGAGTAGTAGAGAAGTATGGAGGCTGAAGGCTGCTTGGTTGCTGTTCTAAAATTTTTGAATAACAAAAAAATAAAATACAAAATCTGTCCTTGGCACCAGTGTGAGTCCAGTTACATCATTGAAATACAAAGTAAGACAAATTAAAAAACAAACAAACAAATAAAATATGATATGCATGTACAAAAACACAAATATTAAATCCACTTTTTCCTCAGGATTCATTACTGACGTTTTTCAGTGATGTTATTTCAGTGAGATGAGCCTGACTTGCTGTGGTTGGAGCTGTAACAGTTAGCATCTCCTGCGCAGCTGCAGGACAGTTTTAATGCACAGGCTGGCAGCGCTGTGCTGGGTCCAGGCTGGAGACCCTGTCACACTATGAGTGAGTCCCTGCTCAGTGCAGTGCTCTGTTAGGGAAACATACCAAGAGCAACATATTAGGAACTTCACTTTCATGCTCATGCAGGGTTAGCACAGCCTGGGGACAGAGCTTTGTAACCATGCACAGAAATCATGCAATACTGCAGTGGTTGCCACCTTGCTCATAGAGGAAGAAAGACTTTGGGATATTTAGAAAGCCAGAAAGCCTGTGTGTAATGGTTGCATGCTAGGCTGTGTTATAGAGGAATAATGCGCTTTCATTCATTATCAAAAATTAGGTTAGAAAAGCCACTGCTACATAAAGTCGTGTAGAAACAACACAAAATGATTTAGTGTTGACACCACAAATCTAAAATCCACAATACATATTATGTACATAACACTGAGAGACATTATTAAAGATATATAAAAGATATTAAAGGACAAGGCAGATGTTTTTTTCTCTATATTTCTTACTGTCAACAAATCTCATGTAAAGCTCAAACCAGCAGTGTTAGTTTACGCACACAGTGCTTCTGTAAACGTTGAAACCAGCTTTAGCAGATTTTGGGAAAGCATAGCTTATAACATTTATCGGCTATTTTGTTTTATAAACCAGCTCAAAAGCTTGTTAACACAAATATATAATCACAGGGAAGCAACTCACTGATTTAAATGACTTTAAACATTGCGTGATAGTGTTTCTTGCTTTAACCTAATAGGAAGGTAACAGTAACTCATATAATGTTTGGTTACAACCAAGGTATGCAGAAGAGCCTTTCTGAAAACACTACACGTTGAACCTTGAAGCAGATCAACTGCAACAGCCACTCTTCTCAGCTAAGAACAGGAAACTGAGGCTACAAGTCACACGTGCTCACTAAAATTGGACGGAGAAAACGTTGTCTTGAATGATGAATCTTCATTTCTGATGCGACATTCAGATGGCAGAGATGGAATTTGTTGTAAACATAAAAAGACAGATCTATCCTGGTTTATATCAACAGTTCAGGACATGGTGATGGTGCAGTGGTGTGGGGAAAGTTTTCTTGGCACACTTGAAGAGCATTATTTAAATGCTACAGTCTACCTGACTGTGTATTGTTGCTGACCATGTCCATCTTTTTATGGCCACTTTGCACATCTTTTGATGGGTGCTTCAGAAGTGTATAGTGGAATATTGTTTTTAAATTTATATAAGAGATAAACAGCTGAATGCTTATTTATACAGCAGTCAGCCTTGAAGTTACATAATAGGTCAACCGGACAGTTGTTTCCAACCATGTGATAAAAGCAAGTGAGTTGCTCCCTTTTAGCTCAGTTTTGGTCTCCACCAAGTCTTGTAGGGATATACTTGGTTGTCTGTTTCATAACTGCTCCACTTACTATGAAAGAAAGTGTGCTAACTCTACTGCTTTAGTACTGAACATATAACAGTATGTGTGTGGACTATAAAATAATAAGAGTGATCTGAAAAACAATAAAACATTGACCTGATTGCAGAGCTGTGGGCTACTACAAAGCTACTGCTAATTAATTGGGGGTTTGTCCATGAATCCGTTTCAGTACGGAATAACCTGGAAACAAACAATAGGTCCCAACTCGACTCCAATTATATCGATATATAAAGTTCACCTGGAAACATTTTTACTTACTATTTTTTTTCATAGCATCATGATGATGAATGTGGGATTAAGTCAGGATGAACGATAGTTTTTAAACTACATAAACCTTTTGAGGACATTAATTGACAGAAAGGAATAATTCATGACTTGATTACACAGACAGTTGTTTCTAGACTGACACATTGCTGGTTTTATGCTTTTTACAGTATTTGCTGACAGTAAGACGAAAATAGGATATCACCAGATTTGTCCTGCAACAGTTTACAGGATTTCAAGGCTCTTTTTCCTGAAGAACAGAAGAGGAAGTCCTTGTTCCTGCTATAAGTAACTCACCAGATTTCTGCTCCTTTCTCTCTCCTCTCTGCCCCCTTGCAGTGTGTGGGACATTCCCTGGTTGGGGCGGGTGTAAGAGAAGGGCTTCATGGCTGCCTCTGTGGTCCTGTACCTCTCTGATCTGGGAGGTTCTGCTGTGCGGTACCGCTCTGTAGTTTGGTCAGCCCTGCGGTATCTCTCAGCCTCGAGCTCAGAGTACGGAGGCAAAGAGTCCTCATCTTCTGGGCGGTTGCTAGGTGAACGGCTGTAATAACTATCGCTGCCCTTTCCTCTGGAGCTGCCTTTAGAGGGAGTGTCACTGTCCTCGTCCATCCTCCCAGCACCTCTGTCCCTTCCCCGGCCCCTCGTTTTACTCTCAAGCATGCTGTTGAGCAAGGTGTCATCATAGGCTCTGCTTTGGGGCAGTCGAGACGGGCGATCACTGTCCCACGTGTCCCTTCTCTTTTGCAGTACTGGTGACGGGCTGCGGCGCCCCCAGCCATCATGTTCATTTCCATAGGAGCGCCTGGGAGGGCTGTAATCCCGCTCATAAGGCCGGTCTGATGGCGCACCCCGACGTCCATGTGCGCTATAAGACCGAGCGAATTCCTCCAGCTCATCCAGAGAGCCCGTGCGCCCTCTTCTGCCCAACGTCTTTCTCTGCAGGTTCTCCGATCGGCAGTTCCACCTACAGCGAGAAGCAGCCCACGCTATACATGTTAATAACAGAACAAACAAAACTGGAGAAAACATTTATCTCACCAAGCAGCAACCTCCAGGGCTGACAAATGAAGCCAATTTAGAAAACCCTTGTAGACTCCCATGTTAGCTACTTTTAGCTGATCCCTTATTCTCAATGGGTCACTACAGCGGGATGCTCTGCACGTTTGACAGAGGAATTTGTGTCTCCTCCCAGGATCAAACCAGGGATCTTTCATTTGTTGGGCAAAAGTGTAAACCACTACACTAAAAGCCATTACTGCAGACAATGTTTACATCCTGGTTTAATTTTGCTTTTTAACAGCTCTTTCAACAATTTTTTAAAACGGTAATTACCTGTATTAACATTCTATTCATGAACAGTTTTGGTGAGAGAAAATAGTCGTAGAGTAACACGTCACTTTCAGGAGGTTTACATTTGGACTGCTTTTACTTACAAAGGGGGAAAAAACGTGCAGCCACGTTTGCTGCAGGTGATGCAGTGAAGTACATTGAATAGTGGATCAATTATAATTTATTGTTTCTACTGGCAAAATTACATTCCTTAGCAATAATTTGTGGTTGACAAAAAAGTATTTCAGCCATTTTTTATGGTGTTATTGTGTTTTGCCTATGAATATCTTTGGATTCACTTTGTTTCAAGCAACATAAAGACGTCACCGTGACAAATCTACTGTCAAATGTTTTCTGGCATTAAACAGTAAACACAACAACCTGATAGAAACTCTTCAGAGGGAAGCATCTCTCCACCTTACCTGCGGTCCAGTTCATCATCTGAGTGGTTAATTCTGTCTTGTCTGAGTCTTCGGCTTTGTGTAGGTGGAGCTGCTCTCCGCACCGACAGGTCATCGAGGTCTGCGATAGGTGGAAGTGCTTTCATCTGGACCGCCTGAAAGGTGTTTCTGAAGTCTGTAGTCCCTCCATCATGAAGCGAGCTGAGCTCTGATATGCTCCTGGCTGCTGGGACAGACACATCACTAACATGATATTTGCTGTTTATACTAATAAAGTCATTTTGAATGAACAGCGGGTGGTATAAAGGTATGAATGCATTCAAGGAAGAATAGGATCAGACGATGTTTTTTATTTTTCTAATTAAAAAAAGAATCATTAGGGAACAAATTAATTAACATTAATATGACAAATGCACGATCTGTCTTTGTTATTACTATTATTATTATTATGAACACAGGAACTGCAGTGTATCCCAGACATTCCACAGTGATGCCATTAATGCTCCATACATGTGCTCATATTTCCAGCCTCTATGTGGGATTCAGCTGATCTATTTTGTACAATTGTGAAAAATAATCTACACCTTTAGATTATTAAGGTTATAAATTTCAGGACAATGTAAAAAAAACTAATCTGGTCCTTCTCAGGTTCTAAAATTACCTCAGATGAACAACAACACGTGACATATTACACTGTATTGTTATTTATTTAGCAAAAAACTAACCCATAAAGCAGAGCAGTTTGTGAGAAAAATATGTACACCCTTACTGCCTCCGTAGTCATTAACAGTGCATCGTTCCACCGTGAGAAAGATTATTTACAAATTTAATCTTCCCAAGTGGCCTTTCCAGCAAATTCACCCTAATTTCACACTGCTCAGACCCTCTCGCTCTACAGGCCCCAGTCAGCATGTTAAACGTTGGAAGTCCAGACTGTAGAATTAGAAACAGACTGAACAAGTGTGACATGCTTGGAAGGGCTGCCAGGTACAAGCATCTTCTCTCTAAAAGCAATATTCTTGTGGAAAGGTTTGGAAAATTGCTTCTAAATAAACCTCTAGACTTTTAGAACAATGTTCTTTGTACACATGATGCCATGGTACTGGGACTTTACCCAGCCTTTTTTTATTCTTTCCTTTATAATGATGATTTAAGTTCAAGTTTATACAGATTTAGTCTTGAGTTTTATTCATTTATGTTTATGTTTACTTGTATTTCCAGGTTTTGGTTTCTTATCTTTGAAACTCATCTTGCGTGTTTGTCTCATCGCTGTGTCTTGCGTGTGAGTCTGTTTGTGTCATTTGTGTTTACGTCTCCCTCGCTCAATGTGTGTCTCGCTCCCTCTGTTCCCTGTACCTAGTCAGTCTGCATCATAGTGTGTGTTTCTCGTACTTCCTGTTTTACTTTGATAGTCTCCAGTATTGTCTGCAACATGTTTTGTCCCCTGTCTCGTCAATTAGATTAGGTCCAGCTGTGTTCCCCAGGTGTTTCCTCTTCGCCCTGATTCCCTCTTGTGTGTATATATTGTCTGTGTCTCCCTCTGTCCAGTGTTGTGATCTCCCTTAATGCTGTGTGTTCTGCCTGTCAGTTTAGTTTCTAGTTTCTCCCAGTTTGGTTTCATGTCCTTTGTATTTCCAGCAATAGAGCTGAGTTTTGAGCTCAGTCCTGCTTGAGAGTCTGCATTTTGGCTTTTCAATCCTGCCTGCCTCATACAGCCTTTATGACAGATGGAACCAAAGCGGAGTTGTCTGGCTTTAAAGCGTCACGTTTGGAGAAAAGCAAATCAACATATATCAGCACAAACACCTCATAGCAGCTGTGAAGCACTCTGGTGGAGAGGTGGTGATTTTTCACTTGGTTGCAGTGACAATGATGGGAATATTACAAAGGAAATTCTACACAGACAGGCTTTTTTTTTTTTTTTTGGCTTTAGCTGAGTCGACAAAACCTAAATCCCACGTTGGAGATAACAGGTATCATGATGGTGGATTTCTCTGTAATGCCTCTGTGTGCACTCCCATAAAAAGGGGCGTTTCACAGATCATAAAACTCACTCCTACACAAAACAATCCCTGTGAGTGTCACTTACTCCAGACAGAGACATTATCAGATAATAATGACTACTCAACTCATCTGTTAAGTATGGCTTAACAAATTACATATTTCCCCAGAAGAGTCTTTATTCCACTTGAACCATGCAGCAAAATAAAAGAATCCGTTAAAATGACAATTTTAAGCCAAAACTCTGAACATAACCTGGTTCTAACCAGACTATATGTTCAGTATACGTTACCATGGTGATTTAGCAAGGTAGAAAAAGAGACACAGACAACTCTGACTTGACAAAGCTGAGAAAAGAAGATGTGCTTCACATATTTTCACATGACTGTGTGTTTTCAAACTCATGAAAAAGCATGACTCCACAAGTTAACCTTGCAATTTGTGAATGAGAAAAAAGGGACAGATGTTGTTTTTTTCAAATATGAAAGGATTAGACGGCAACTAGTAAGATTTAATTCCCACAAACCATGCACATAAAGCACATACATACATATAAACGCACACACTGCCACACAGATTAAAGAAACTAGCCTAATCTGTGCAGGCTTACATTTGAATGCTGCCATCTTGCTGCGCGGAAACTGAGCCAGCTCCTTCTCTATGTAGTACAGAACTTTTATTGAGTCCTGGGCTGGACTGGCTTTGAGCTGGTAACCACTGCGCACTGTGAATGTCAACACACACACACACACACACACACACACACACACCTATAGATAGATTGAGAAAAACAAAACCATGCAAGGACGCACACAAACACTCTTGAGTGTGCAAAGTATACGAGACAAAACAACCTTACGTGTTAATAACGGATTAAATTCAAAAAAAGGAAAAAGAGAAGAACATTTCTTCAGACATTTCAGACATTCAGACTTTTCACTGTAGAGACAAGGATGATGGATGAAATGAAGGTTAGTCGTGTCAGTGTTTGATGAAGAGAAAAAGGCAGCTGTCACTGACGTTTCTATGTAAGACTATAAATAACGTTAATTACACCACTTGTTCAAATAGTCCTCAGAGAAGGTTTTAGAGCTCAAAAGCAGTGATAAGAGTGAATACTGAGCTCATCAATATTGTTTTTGCCTCTCCAAAAGCGTTAAAAACAGTTATTGAACTTTCAACACTAGAACCGCTGATCCCAGTCATTTTGACCCCATCCTCCAACAGTACCAGCAAAGAAGTCATTTCCAAAGAAATCAGTTAAGTTGTTCATTTTCATCTATTTTTTGAATAATAATAATAATAATAATAATAATAATAATAATAGCAGTAAGATTTGACAAAGTATTTAATCGGTTTTGGGGTTTTAATAATTTTGATTATTTTATTACAAATCACAAAGGTGAAATTAGAATTTCCATCAATAAACTATGAGCACAATAAACAACACGTAACTACCATATGCAAATATTAAATATATTTTGCATACAGGCGGCCTATAACTTATTTTGAAATTTTACCTGTAAAATTACAAAATAATTCTCATCTTTCAGGAACCATTTGAATTCTTCCTCTACTACTCACCTCCAGACAGGTTATTCTCCACTGAGGGGATCGAGTTGATCTTTGTGTCCGTGTAAGAGGAAGAGGCCACAGGGACCACAGTAGGTATACCGGGAATGTAATAGGGATACACAGGGACCTGAGCAGCAGGCTGTCTGCTCTTTGCCATCTTCCCCGCTTCATACACTGCATAAACAACACACTTTCATTGTTGATGTTAAAGAATGGGGATATTCAATTAAAAAAAGGACATTCATTTTTTTTAAAGAGGATGCAGGACAGTCATTGGGTTGTTTGTGTTACTCACGGTGTCGTGGGCAGCAGCAGGTGTCAGGGCAGCAGCAGCAGCGGACGTAGCAGCAGCAGGAGTGAGGACAGCACTGGCACCAGCAGATCCCCAACAACAGCAGGAGCAAGATGCTGCCCAGGACTACAGATCCCACAAACGCCCATTCTGATTTACATACATACAAAAAAAAAAAGGTAACAGTCAATGATTAAACACTCTGAACAGTGATTTAACATCACTACACCAAAGTGAGAAGTTCAACCAGTGGAGGTCAGCAAAACCAAGATTTTCACATAACAGTCATATCTAGTGGTAACTAGATGCAACTGAAATATGGCCACAACCATTAAAATAAGTCAGACTGGGCCAAACTCAAAAGGATTTGTGCAGTTTGTGACAAAAGCTCAATATCACTAACGTTACGTTAAAGAAAAAAAATGAAGCTGAGTGAAGAAATTCAGCCAAAGGGCTGAAAATTGTTCTCCGAAGTTCACAGTCTTTTTTGAAATGTCTTTGTTTATTTCAGATCTCAGCATTTGAATTGCTGAAATGTTATAACTGACAAAGATTTTGGACAAAAAAATAAACCCAGTCTCTGTTTTTTCTATTAAAAAAAGCTGATGTTTGGCGCTCTCCTCCACTGATGTACCCGGACAACAGACCCCTACAAACAGGAAACTTTAGGGGATATCAAAGGAAATCAGAGTTACTTTTATCCGTTCTCACATCTTTGAACCATCCAAACCATAACAACAGACTTCCTCAGGGTGTGCCAAGAGTCAAAATCCACTCACTAACAACACATTTCCCCTGTGAAATTTGAAATCATAACTGGAGGTAAACAATAACAACTACAACTCTGTGAATTTGGCTTCATGTAGCTTCACTAACTGTGTTCATATCGGGCGTAGAAGCTCCAGCTACAAGGCTGTCATGTTTATTCAGTCAAATTTCTAACAAGTGAATGTACATTTGTTAGTCAAAGAGAGTTTTATCTGGTCAGTTGGAATTAGAAACATCAGGAGGCAATAGAAAAGCTGGAAAATGCCAGGCAGAGAGACAGACATGCAGCGTAGGGACCGTACCTGGCATAATCTCCAAATCAAACTCAGGGAGTAGATCTTGCTGCTCACCTGTCCTGCCTGCAGAGAGAGGGAGAGGACAGGTGAAGGCCGGCAGAGGAAGCGGGAAGCGGGAGTCAAAAGGTCAGGCAAATTAGCAAATTTGGCAGAAGGCAGATGATTAATGGTCATGCACTATTTGGGGAATGAAAGTTTAAGTATGAAAAAATGGGTCTGCATCTAGAAAATATCAAACTTATCAATGAAGACGTTTGTTGTTGACCATGCTGTCTGTGACAAACTGAAATGTCTATTAGATGGACTCCCGTGACATGTGGTTCACATGTTCACATCCCAAAAGTTTGACCCTTTTTGATCTGGAGGTCCATTTACTTCCCATTTGTACCACCAGGATGTTTTATATAGATAATAACTAGGGGTGCAACAATACATGTATCTGTATTGAACCGTTCGACACAGTGCTTTCGGTACGCATATGTATTGAACGATACAAAATTTTAAATTTATTTGGTCAACTTTTCTTCTGACGATGCCGTCTGTGTTGAGGGCTCAGTGGATCTGCGTTCAAGCGCAGATCCACTGAGCGCCACCCATATGCATTCACTCAAGTTAGCATGGCAACTGCCTCAACTCTACTGTATGAATGTGAGAGTGAATGAATAGTGGTATTGTAAAGCGCTTTGGGTGCCTTGAAAAGCGCTATATAAATCCAATCCGTTATTATTATTATTACCCGAAATTGAACCTCCTCCACCGTCATTCAGATCTGGAGTTTGGAACTATTTTGGTTTTCATGTGAAGAATGACCCTACTTAAGCACATCGTAGACAAAAGTACAACAGTATGTCGGATGTGCCACGCAATGCTCAATTAAATTGGTGGGAACACAACGAATATGACTGCACATTTACGCCGACATCACGCTAGTGCAAAGACAAGTGGAAGCAGACAAAAACAACAACAAGCACGCATGCTGAAAACCTTACCCGACTCAATTAGACAGCTGTTAGAACATGAAAGAGATAGAGAGGGCAATCGCTACTTTTATTGCTGTCGACAAAATAGCTTTTATTTTGGAAAGAGACATATATCTGTAATAAACTCTCGTTTCCACATATGAGCGATTTCTCCATCAGATACATTTTTTTTTGTTATTTTGTTGTTTCAGCAACATTTAATCTAAAAACTGTACTTTTGAGTTAAAAGAAATATTTATAATTTTAATAACTTGACATGAAAATTTTTTTTGTATCGAAAAAATATCGAACCGTGACACCAAAGTATCGAAACGAACTGAACCGTGAATTTTGTGTATCGTTGCACCCCTAATAATAACATAAAATTCATTGTTCCCAGAGATCCCTCTCTGATCTCTTGAACTACAATATGACCCACGTGCCAGACAGCAAGAGGTAGACTAACAAAAAGCAAGCCTTTATTAGCTGCTGGCAAATTAATAGGTATAGTTGAACTGAGACTAAAGGAAACACAAAATAGAAAGGGCCACAAGGAGGCTAAGCTAAGAGAAACTCCCAAACACCAACACAGAGTCTAAAAGGTGATTATAGCAAATACAAAGGACAAAGGAAGACAGGACTATTTATACACTGGGGGCTGATTGGAACAAGACAGGGGTAAAGACAATCAGGATAATCACAAAGGAGCCAGTAAAACCTGACATGAAAGAAAACCAACCTTCAAAGAAATCAGGAAAAAACACAAGAGACAATTACACTGCAACACAAAAACTAACACTAACAAGATGTCAGATGAAAGGGAGCACAGGAGGGCAAAGGCACTAACCAGAAAGATGAGACAGAGGGAGCAACAGATAGGGATCCCAAAAGGTTGATTCTCTTCATCTGCACAATAACAGTAAATTTGCACAATAACTGAAACAAGGCCCAGTTATTGTGCAAATGTACTGTTTATAAGGTTGGGGAAGTCAGCTGAGACGGAAGAAGTCACTTGGATGAGTGAGGAAACGTTTCTCCCACTGAAAACGCTACGTCCAGATGAACAGAATCAACCTTTTGGGATTTACTTACCTGGATGATTGAGCATGCATCAAGACAACAGATAGGGAAACACAGAGGGAACTAAACACACAAAAAAGCTAAATAAAATAAAGTAAAACTTAAAAAAAACTATTAAAGCCTTTTTCTTTGATGCCATGCACAGTCGACGTGTCTCAGCATTAACATTAAAACTGCACACTGTTAACTGAATGCTGTTAATCATTTTACATGCATGCAGACACCCAAACACATGCAAGCAACTGAGACGTGAGAGGCAACAGACAGGGAGGTTTGGAAACTGGGACACTGATGGCACCAGGACAACAATTTACCGTGCAAGCTCGTCAAAACAAGGTCATGCAAGTCGCGCTGCTGTGAAACAATGTGCCTGTTGTGCTCAATATGTATGACATAAAGGTCAAAATCAGAACAAAAATTCAAGGAAATTACTCGCTGAATACAGAAAGGGATCAGCAACAGGTGTGCAGGAGTCAGCTACGGATGTTTTTAATGTGCTTATTATGAGGTCTGAAAACCCTGATTACAGTAAAGACTGGTTACTGTCTGACATGGCAACACTGGTAGACTAAACAACCCCTGGTACTGAGGCTGCAGAGTGTGCTGAGTAAGCGCTTATTAAGGAGTGGGGAAAAAAACAGCCTTGCTACCTTGGCCCTGCCTCACTTGACTGCATACCATCCGTAACCTGAGAGAGCTGAGGAGCTGTGCAGCTCCGAGAGGGAGGGGAGGTCGACGAGTAAGAAATGGACAGTGTTGGGGAGTAACGGAATATATGTACCGCCATTACGTATTTAAAATACAAAATATGAGTAACTGTATTCCGTTACAGTTACCGTTTAAAAGGGTGGTATTCAGAATACAGTTACTTTGTTGAAATAAATGGATTACACTGCAGTACTTTCCTGTTTCATATTGTCTGGGTTTTGTTTGACAGCTACGTTCTGTTGTTCCAGGCGGCAGCGTTACGGTTGCCATGGTTACAGGGCGACGCTCTGTCTCTCTCTCTGCGACTGTGTGTTTCTTGGGTGAGAGAGCGCATTTTCGTTGTTGTTGTGCTAAGCTAACAGGCAGAATGCTACAAGAATGTAGCATCATGGGCAGTGTAGTCCGTGTTGCAGGGAGAATGGACTGCCATACACGTTATGGGTCTGTGAGCGCAAGGAGGGAGAAAAAGGGGAGTGGAAAGGTACGAGTTGTCATTGAGGAAAAACGGGAGCTGGAAGCATGTAAATATAATAATAACCACTGCAGCCAAGAAGAGTGCCTGACGAGCCCAGTTGTAAGTAAGCTATTAAGACTCGACTGTACACCGTGTTCGTGTTTTCCTCCGAAAACAATAAGTTCCGTTGGAGCCGTCTTTCAACGCCTCTCTCTGTCTCTCGCAAGAAAAGTTGACCCACACAACAAAGTAAAGCTATTTTTCGGCTACCAGCCGACAGGGACCCCGCCGTATTAGTCAGAGGTCCCTTTACTACAGTTCGGAGTCGTGGACCTTCAGTAATAGTAATAAATCACACAGCAATCACGTTGCTGTAAAAAGCATGATAATATATTAAGTAATCCAAAGTATTCAGAATACGTTACTGTCATTGAGTAACGTAACGGAATACGTTACAGAATACATTTTGGGGCATGTATTCTGTATTCTGTAATGGAATACGTTTTAAAAGTAACCTTCCCAACACTGGAAATGGAGGAGTGCATGAGAAGATTTTGCAAGGCAAAAGGGAGGGAAGGGGAGTGAGTGTGAAAGAGAACTGAGTAAATGTTATCAGCGTTCAAGGTGCTGGTGAGCAAAAGAACACGCAAAGAATGTTTTTTTGATCATGTGCTTTCATATTTGAACTGTAGCCTAAATATGGAGTTAGAGCCAAGCAGCAGTTTTGTAGTAACGCTGGTGAAGAAAGTTGAATATAAGTACCAGAAACTTTTAAAAACAACCAGTTTGGCACAGAAAAAGTTTTACACACTTTCTAATTCTAACTTCAAAATTACAACATGCACAAGCTAAGAAGTTCAGCACTAAAGCCAAATGAGTCTTGTTATTCTCACACGTTTAAGCCCCTTCTTCTCTCCTGGGAGAAGACTGTAATCAGATTAGTGCTAAACTAAAGAGGGCTACATGAATAAGCAGACTTCATAAGCATCAGGCTGGCCTAACATAAAGGGAGAAAAGTAACTAACAGATCACACCATCAGTTATTTTTTAAGTGTTTTAGTCGTATTTATTTCATATCACAAGCAAAACAAACAACCAAGTAGACTTTTTGATCCTGGAAGTGCAGCGCAACAGCAACATCGAAGCAGTATGCTGTGTTCCTGTATAAGTCAGAAGTTGGAATTCCAAAGTTACCAGTCGGAATTTGAATCTGGAACACCTCCTCACCTCAGAAAGTCGGAGCAGTCCCATCAACCCTGAGCTAACAATCCTGTTTTCCCTGGCTTTTTCTGGAACTTGCTAACTCAGGAGTGACATCACTCCGGACTTCCTGTATTCCAGTTCCAAGGTATCTGGAATGTTGCTTCAGATATATTCATTCACACAGTCAGGGTTCATAGGCAACAGACCAAAGAAACCAATCCTATCAACCAGGAAGAGTTGGCTAATCTCTCTGATGTCACAGTTGGGAAGTTTATCCAACAAAAGAAGGATGCTATTATTAGTTGTTCGATAATATCCTCATATCTACATGTGCATGTCTACATGTGCACGACTTCTACTGCCATCATCTGCTCTATGTTTCACTCTGTGTGTTTGCCTTTTAGCTCCTTGTGTGTGATGGTGAAACAGACACATGCAGAGCAAAGGAGCAGAGAGACAGGACGAGTGAAGTTAACATTACTGTTACTATAAGCAGTAAAAGTGAGCGCTAATTCATCTGAATGATTTGTGTTGGCAGTTAGCACTTAGCTGTTGTCCCATGAGCACAACCTACTGTGGATTTTTTAAAGGGCTTTGAACGCTCCACCAAAACAGCAGCCTCCAGATATTTTGGCATTGTGTGTGAGAACTACTAAGTAAAGCTTGAAAAAGTAAAGGGATAGGAAGGGGAGGGACAGCAGGAAAGGGGAGGGATTAATTTACATATCCCACACTGTACATGCTAATTGAGGCAAAAGGCTCAGCTTTTGCTGATATGAAGGGAATATTTTCATCTAACTGTATTGAATACATCAATGCTTGGAGGGGGACCGTTAACAAGCTCTTGTTTGGTCTGAAAATACATATTACCAAGTTCAACATCTTATAGTCTGGGTTAAACAAAAAGACAATCTTACGTAGTGAAAATGCTACTTCAAGATTTACAGTAAGTCATGACTCTCTGATCTTAGTGCTGAAGTGTTGGCAGTTTAGTGAAGATTTGGGAGGTATGTATAATGATTAACCAGTGATACTCCCCAATGAGCAAACGCCACACAGACAAACACGCTCGCTGTTGTTCAGCTGAAGCTCCCCTGCAGTCTTTGAGCCTCCTGACATACTGTGTAACTGACCTGAGATGTAACGGCTCCACAGCGGCTCTCTAAAGCGTGCGACCGGCTAAAGAATAGAGTCCGTTACGGAGGATCGAGGGCATGTAAAGAGGGAAACACCATTTAGCTGTTTCCATGGAAACCGTAGTAAGGGCACTCGGGAATGCAGCACAATTAAGAGACCACTTCTAAAACCTTTATCAACAACGCGCAGGAAAAAACTCCCAAACAAACAAACAAATAGAAAAATATAGGTTAACTTTCTCGCATGCTTACCAAGCACCAGTAATTCCACCTGATCCTCGTTCTTCCCCTCCAGATCATCAGCGATCACAACTTTGCAGAAATACACCCCGCTGTCGCCCCACTGCAGCTCCCCAATACGCAGGTCTGCTTCTGCACAGATTACAAAACAAGGACAAAGATTATATTTCTACATATTTACAAATATTAATATGTCAAATGGCACAACGTGTTCACAAAGCAAACTTTTTAATGCTGCATTTTTAAAATTCAAGCGGAATCATTTAACACTGACGCCACCCAATAAGACTGTGGCGCAAAATTTGAGGACTATGAACTGGAACTCTTTTAAGATCGATGACATGCTATTGATTGTTCAGTGGGAAGTGAGAGTATTTTCCCGGTTATGCTTGTCTCTTTGTTAGAATTATAAATCAAACAGTCTGAATTCATCTAAAGATCCAAAATCTGTAATTCACGTTTGGACTCAATACTGAAAAAGGGGAGGGAGAATGTCATGTCTTGACAAAAACATGTTCAGTTGAAATGCGAGGAAATGTAAGTCATGTTCTTAACAAAACACCACAAACTATCTGGATGTGAAGAAAATTTGTTAAGGGTCCCGAAGTCAGTTGTTTGTTTTTAATGTCAGTAATGAAAAAAATACTGCCAAACATAAAGAAAGTCATTATCGGCCTACATGTATTTCCTTTGGCCTTTATTGTTATTGGATTTTGTGACAACAGGAGGCCGTTGTGGACACATTTAAATGGCAGACGTGTTTTGTCCTGATAAGAAGCCCACATATGAATGGGCGCGAGGGCGGGGGCCTCTGTGTGGTACCGCCATTCTTGTAGGACTGGAGCAGAAGAGATTTATTTATAAAAAACCCCGTCAGCTCTGACTCATGTGTGACGATCAAACAGTCTTTCACCTTATTTCACTGAGGATAAAAGTGGCGACATTACTGTTTATGATGCTGATGTCTCTGCCTTTGTAGTGCTCAGCCAGCGTCATGGAGGCTCCCTGGGACGATGCCACTACCCGAACTGTGCGGGTGTTGTCAGAGCACTCCAGGTGGGACTTGGGTCCCAGCGCTGAGGTCTTGATGCCCAGGGTCTCCGAAAGGGAGAAGGACTCCTGCATGTGGTCTCGACAGTAGGACTTGTACCACCACTGCACCACCGGGAGCTGGACGGAGGACGTCTGGTACTGACACGAGAGGACCACGGACTGGAAGAGGATTGCATACTGCTTTTCCTTCTGCACTGAGACATGCACACTGTCACACACGCACACTGATGGACACATACAAGCAAAAAGAATAAAGCACAGGTGCTTTTGTTAATCTACTAAAAATGGACATATCAGTTCAGTTTGACTATTAAGTCATGCAAATGGTAAATATGCACGATGCTAACTTAAGCAAGTCAGTTCCACCTATTCTGCAGAATGAAATACAGAGTTTACAGACTCATTTTTTAGTCCAACCAATATAAGCGCCAGATCTGAAAACACACTACAAGCATTAAAATCCGTCCCATTTAAACAAAATTAAACCTTTAACATATTTGTTAATCAATAAATTATGTAACAACAATGAGAGGAGCCAATATGTTTAATGTCAGAACTGATTTGCATCAATTTTACTTGGTTAGTAAGTCAAAGATCTGATTAGGCTTTACACCACTACTTAGTTGCGATTTTATTATTAACTTTTTAACTACAGCTAAACTACAGTCTTTAACAAAACTTACCTTTAAATCTTAATGAGCTATATTAGACAGCTTTACTGTCCACTACTTGGTCATTTTGAAGGCTGCAGCTTTGTTGGTGTTAAATGATAATGTGACCTTTGTGTTATTGGGGGTGGGGTCACTCTGCCCCCCTCAACTGACTTCTTTCTAGTCAGTTATTGCAGCTCAAGCTCAAGTTAATTATTCTCTGAACAGTCTCTGCTTTGGCAGCAATCTCAGTAAGTAGTACAGCTAAGGGTGCTGATTTTGGAGTGCATGGGTCTATGCAAGTGAAACTTTGGGAAGTGTCTTTGGAACGATCAGCACGTGAAGCTAGTTTGCTTGTAATCATGGATACTAGATCATGAAGAAGATGTGAGTGGGAGTGCAAATGGTCTGTCTCTGTGCTAGTCCTGTGATAAACTGGCAATTGCACCCCTCGCCCCATTGGAGCTGGGATAGGGTCCCACCCTCTTGTAAGCCTTAATTGGCTGAAAAAGATGGATGGATGGATGAATCATGATGAATAATGAATTAGCTTATCTATCCTTAAACTGTGTAGCCTGTCTAGGTTTTCAGAGGATGAGTTTATTGCCTCCTGTAGCACTCTTTTAAATACACATATAATGCATCTTACTGTGAATTTCAGTTTATAACCTGTGTTTTGTGGACACTGCACGTCAGCTGCCTGTCCATTTCACATGCTCTGAAGCCGACTCTGTAATAATTTGCTCTCTGTCATCAAACTTCAGGTGAAGGAAAAGACTGCATAACTAGCGGAAGGTGATAAACTAGCAGGTGAGTCTAGATAAGAAAAGTTTGAAAACAGTAAAATGATGAAAGTGGCAACTTTATGAGCAGAGCAGCAGCTGCATCTCATCTTTATCTGTACAGATGACTGATGATGACTCTGTACTTCAGAGAAACTGTCATTATCATCATATCAAAACCAAAAGAAAGACAGGAGGAGAGATTAAGTGTGTGGGGGTCCACTATTGTTCGGTGCTGGGGTCAGGAAGGTTAAATTCCAGTGTGCGTGGGGGGCTGGGGAGATCTAGGGAGAGGCAGGGGGTTGTCATCATAGAAGGAGGGGGGTGGAGCAGTCTGATGGGGATTTTCTGGTAGTCATATTAGCTCTAGGTGGGGCAGGAACTCAACTCTAAACATGCCCCAGAAGACAGGAAATCAAAACAAAACCAAGTCCTCCAGCCTGCATCTCCCAGGGTCAGTAAGAGGAGAATACACACTGTGTTTAGACATTTATCTCAAATGAGCACCTCTACAGCATTCTTCTGAAAAGACATCAAGTTTCCCTATTTCCAGGCAACAGTTAGGACTGCGAATAACTATTCTTCCCCCAGAAGGGAGACCCAAGGTAGAGGAATGTCATCACTGCTGGGCTTTTATTTGTCTGTCTGTATGTCAGCGGGATTACGCAAAAACTACCAGGCTTAATTCCAGAAAAATTGGTGAGGTGGAGGAAAGAAAGAGCTCATTGCATTTGGGTGTGGATCTACACCACATTCTTTGAAAAGGATGTGTTATCCGAGTAATTGATTTTGTCTGTGAATCCCAGGAAAAGGGTTATAAAGTCAAGCTGCTGTGTTTTCTTTTTTTCTGACATGTCCAACAATCCAAAACTCAAAGAAATTCAATTAAGAATAAGAAGTAGTTGCTTTCAGTTGCTGCCTTGTTAATAAGGAGTTGCCACATATTTGATCTGGCACATTTCTTTTACACCAGATGCCTTTCCTTACACAATCCCAGAGGGATTTGGGTCACGGGATCTTTCAATTGTTGAGTAAATGTGTAAACGACTACACCATGAAGTAGGGCTGCACGATTAATCGTTAGAAAATCGCGATCTCGATTCATACTTAAAAAAAAAAGAAAAAAAAGACGACGACCACGATTGTACCGCATTTTGATCCGGGATGTAATCTGCATGAAAACAAGCGCTCACTCTTCCTGCTCAACAAATGACAAGGGCGGAGCTTTATACCACGTGATACAGAAGCTGTGCCGTGTGATGCTAAAATTAGCAGGGAAAAAACAACGGAGAACACGTCAGGGATGATGAGAAAGTGACAGGAGAAAATCCGTCCCGGTCAACCACCCAAACATCAATAACGGGAACCTTATACAGCACTTCCCTATACACGTCGAACTCCCGCAGGCACAAAGAAATTACGGAGGCTATCACTTATGACCTGACCAAAGATATGGCTCCCATCAACACTGTGCAAAACGAGGGATTTAGGAAAATGATCAACACCCTAGACAAACGCTACACAGTGCCGTCCCGCAACTATTTTTCTATTGTTTCACTACCTGCTCTATACACGCAGTGTCGAGCAACGGTGGAGACGGAATTTCAAGCCGTACAACATTTTGCGGCAACAACAAAACGTGAGACATTTGTTGTTTTTATATTTATTCATTGTTTTTTTGTTCAGTCTCAACTGTTACGAAGTTGATGTGCAGTTAATAAGTGCAATAAATATTTATACTGGAAAAGAGAATCGTGATCTCAATTCTAAGCCAAAAAATCGTGATTCTCATTTTATGCAAAATCGTGCAGCCCTACCATGAAGCCAGAAAAATATTGGTATTTAAGCAGCAAATCTTTCCATTTAGAAGCTTAAACCAGAATGAATAAATCAACAGAAAAAAAAAATCAACAATAATTTTAATAACTAATTTATTAGTTAGTCATAAATTTTCCTGGTTTTCTCCAAATGCACTAACATGGAGCTAAAAATAAACTGAAACAAAGAGTTACGGATATGACACTGATTACATCTTAGTCAACTTCTCCATTAAATGACTAATCAGCATGCTGAAGCTTTGTCAGCTTTGTGTTTTTAACATTAAGTTGAGGCCAGCTGGTCGACGTCATCAGCTTACTTCTTCCTCTGATACACTTTAACTGCACAAACAGGAGGAAGGGTCACCAAGCTCCTAAATTCCTGCCACAGAAAGCTGTGGTCTTCCCTGTATTTCTTTTTTTCATGGACCAGTCCATTGTTAGGGCTTCCCCTCTCCTGTCCCACTTGAGCAACTGAGAGGGGGAGGAGGTCGCAGACTCCCAGCCAATGGGAGTGTCAGGCCTTCCTCCAGCTGGATGTGAACAAACCAATTAAGCACAAGAGATTTAAATCAAACCGTTAGCCCATGAACTGGAATTCATGAATATCATGAGTTTGAGGTGAGAGGAGTGAGGACTGCTGTAACTGCTGACATGCATCATGATTACACCTGTTAACCAATGTTTACTGTCTGCCGTGACTCACTGTAGGTTAATGACTGGGTTTCAGAGGCAGCAGACAGTCACACCCTCACCACCTGCATACAGTGGAAAGGCCTCAACACATAAAGGAACATAAAGGCCTCAATTAAAGATTAGATGCCAGTTTAAACCGGGGTGAGCACAGTATGTGGTCGCAAATGTTTCCCAGGTCAAAGCCCTGCTCTTGGAAGCAGCACGTTTCCTGAGCAGTCAGACTTTTCCTCTCCAAAGCTGTCACATTTCCTGCCTTTACTTTGCAATACATTCCTTCACATTGACTCATTAGCCCAACAAAAAGTGATAAGGATGAATATAGCCACTGCAGTTTCACAAAACACTCACAATGTTCACAACAAGTGACGTGAAGAGCGCATTCTTCACAGATGCACCATCATCAGTACATTTCCAGCCTTCCTGTTTTTTTGGTACCCTTAAATATACACATTTATATATATAAATTATATAGTGGCCTTATATTTACATTTTGTATAACTAATCGGTCTGACTAATAAAGTGATAGTGAAACAGATCACTTGTGTTATTCTATAACTCAGATGAGTTTCTTAATATAAATAACAAAGACATGCATCATTTTCTTGTATTTTAGATTCCGAAAACAAACAGAAGTGCCTTTTTTCAAGCACATCTACCTGAAAATAGCTAAAATACATGTAGTATTTATTATTGTACTCCAAAAAAGTACTTTTATAAAAAACACCACAGCACAAAGAAGTGCCTGTAATAGCAAAGCTATAACCCACAAATCAGTAAAACATCTTAGGACCACAACATACGATCGAAACAGCATTAAATACCAGAAAATAATTACTTGGGTTGCTCTATAAATGTTAATGGAGCAAACCATCGCTGTAACTGAGAATCTATTTCTCTTTATTCACTCAAATAAAACAAAAAGAAGCCTTTACTGAGTCCCGTGTAGCCCCTGGGTCTGGGATAAGCACCGAGTTTACATGGGATCAACCTGCTGCGCTTTAGCCGTAAAGAAAACACATTTTAACGTTTTACTTTAGAAGGTAAGACCTACCTGAGGCTCCCAAAAAAATAGCCAGCCGGTAAACGTTCATTATATTGTCCGTTTTTATACTAACGAGTAGTTTAACCGTTTGTTGGTCATGTCGTTTTCCGCTAACTGCGTCTGCTGCAGACCGGACTCGGACTGCGTCTAACGGGACTGTACCACTTCTCAGGGAGGTGAGGCTCAGCACAAACACTGCACCGCTCTCAGACAACTTCAGCCTAAAATTTCGGCACAAAAACAGCGTATGTCATAAGTGTCTCGGTTGCAGGATAATTTTGGCTCCTGCATTAGGTTGATTAGAAGTGTCTGCAGGGGCGATTCTAGGCTCAAACTTTTATGGTGGCTCAGCCCCAATCATAATACATGCAGTGCCCTACAATTAAGATTAATGGAATATGCTGCTTGCAAACATATTCAACCCTTTTCACCTTAGAGAATCTCAGTTCGATTATATACACATTACAATGGTACTTGCAAAAGCAAGTTTGTATCACCTATTTAACGTCAGATTTGACATCAGATTGACAGTTTTTCAATGCTTAAGTTATCAAACCTAAAGCAAAGGCTTAATCATGTTGATCAGAATTTACCAAAGCAAGTTGAAGAACTACTTTTAGAGCATAGTATTGGATGTTAATCACATTACTGTAATCGCGTTATATTTTTCAGTAATGCAATAATGTAACTGTTATTGTACTAAATTAAGTAATTACATTACAGTTACCATTATGTCTTTTTTCCATTTCAAAAGTTCTTTAGTTATCTGAACACTATGTGGATAGAAAGAAAAAAACATCAAACCTTTATGTTTCTTCTTCCTGCAAACTTCCACAACAGTCACCTGATTTCAGTTTGTGTGCCGCTGAAGGAAAACGGTGTGGTTTGGTGTGATCTGGTGTGGTCTGCAACATTTCTGGAGGGGAGATATGGATATTGTTTATTAATTTATTTGTTTATTTATTGATCAAAATACTGATCACGGCAGATGACGGCAAAATGCAAATGCATCCAGGACAGAAATAATCACAAAAAGTCCAAAGAATGAGAATTATGTCACTGGCAACACCGTTAGACCCACCATACAAATCACTTGGTTTCTTAAGCCCAACAAAGGCAGATGAAGCAATAAAATGACTCAACTTTGAATGTGTGAATACAATAGGGTCTAGAGAGTCACATTGATCTCCAGCATCACAGGATGCTGTAGCTGAAAGACCTGGTCAGTATTTTTGCTTTGGTTTAAAATAGCTTTTATAGCTATGAGCTATTATGTGTACACACAAAGCCTTGAGAAATAAACCTTTTTTTAACCAACTACTCGGCAGGGCCGGACATATGCGATAAGGAAGTACGGTACACAATATCAATGTTTTCTCTGTATACTTGATTTTATTTAGTGTTGCATAAACACATGTAATATTAAGATGCACAAGCTCAATTTGTGAACAAAAAAAGCCATCCCACAGTATATAGTTTGCCAATGATTTTATTTTCTGACACAATACAAGAGTTGAACAAAACAGTCGAATCACAATTTTTTGGTTTCATATAACACCATAAAACAGCCTTTTTAGTTTAAAATAATGAACAAGAAGAAATAACAAATTAGTAATTTTTGTTAGAAAAATAGCTAACAGCATACACTTTCATCTCAAGCATAAAAAGGAGCTGAACTCAAAAATACAAAAAGAACACATTTTGCATTGTGAAAAGAAAGTAAAAAAATGCACGAACTGACCAATAATGGCAGTAAATGTATCAATAACAACAAACTAACATTTATGATAAATTTGAACATGGGATTCAAGGATTAATCAAACTTTTTGTGAAAATTAACACTAATACATTTGTTATATAGGCCATGTTCACAGCAAACCAATGTCCTTCAAGAAAATCTGATCATGTGATGGTGTATTACAGCAAAGTTGTGTAAAACAAACTTACTGAAATTTGTTCGGTCACGGAGTTAGCAGTAAGGTCTAAAGTTACAGTTAATACAGAAAACTAATGGAATCAAATTATGTTTTCTTTTTCTTTTCTTTTTTTTTCTTTTTTTTACAGCCTGGTAGTAACAAAGTGCCCAAAGATGCAATTTCAAATTGGCTCTTTGCTAAGTTGCCTGCAGCCAACACACTGGGGCGGCTGTGGCTCAGATGATGGAATTAGTCATCTACTGATTAGAGCGACAATGGATCAATACCTGACTCTTCCCGACTCTTTCAGTTGCCTCTGATGTATCCATTGGAATTTGAGTAAATATGGGTAAATGTTAGAAATCGCTGTTTCTAACATTCATGAATGTGTGTTAATGAAACTTGTAGTAAAAAAGCACTTGCTCCGATGAGTAGAAAGGTGTTAAACAATCCATTTATAATTTTCCCTTTGGATTAATCTGTGAGTTAGGTGCTTTTTGTTGGCCTAGTATATTGTTGCGAAGTTTGAAGATGATCCATAAAAAAAAGATTATATCTTTACAACTTTGGCAATAGACTGCTAACAAAGAGACAAACAGACAAGCGAACTCGATTACATACTCTCTCCCTTCAGGGGGAGAACAAGGGGTCATTCAAGACTTTTGGGCAGTTTTGTAGCAATCAAAATTCAACTTAATGAGTTCCATCAGTGTAATGTATGTTGAGTTGGCTCAAATACCTATGGTGGTAGCACGCTCAAACTCCAAAGCACGTACAAACTTCAAAACACGTAAAAAACGCCAAAGCACGTACAAACTCCAAAACACGTACAAACTCCAAAACACGTGCAAACTCCAAAACACGTACAAACTCCAAAACGCGTACAAACTCCAAAACGCGTACAAACTCCAAAGCACGTATAAACTCCAAAACACGTACAAACTCCAAAGCACGTACAAACTCCAAAAAGCACGTACAAACTCCAAAAAGCACGTAAAAACTCCCAAAGAAATGCAAACTCCCAAAGAAATGCAAACTCCTAAACACAACGGAAGTGCTCCAGGACGCTAGGGGCAGTGTTGAGCTTGATTTGCAAAATAAACGGCAAGTTTGTTGCAAACACATGGAGTTGGATAGGATAAACACACCTGCAAGAATAGAACAACCACGCTTTATAGGAAAGGTAATGTGCAAACTGTTGTTTGTTTGATTTCTTTTTAATTATGAATGCTTGGTTTATGGTGGAGTCAAATCTGACGTTAGCTAACAGTCAGTGTGCTTTGCTCATAGAGAAGCTTAACACTGCCCCTAGCGTCCTGGAGCACTTCCGTTGTGTTTTGGAGTTTGCATTTGTTTTGGAGTTTGTGCATGCTTTGGAGTTTCCACATTCTTCGGAATTTGTACATGCTTTAGAATTTGTACGTGCTTCGGAGTTTGTACGTGTTTCGGAGTTTGTACATGTTTTGTGAGCTTTCCAGGTTGCTATTTCTATTTTCTCATGATGCATTCAATTCAGTTTTATTTTATTGAAATTTCGCCAAATCACAACAACAGTCTTCTCAAGGCGCTTAACATTGTAGGGTAAAGACCTTACAATAATACAGAGAAAATCCAACAATCAGATTACCCCCTATGAAAAAGGACTTTAGCGACAGTGGGAAGGAAAAACTCCCTTCTAATAGGAAGAAACCAGCTGGGGCTGAGGGGAGGGGGACAAGGCAAAAGACATTAATTCATTTTGCAGGTTTCACTTATGCAGTAAAAGATTTTTACTGGTTTCTGTCACTGTAATCAAGTCGATCTCGGCTACCACCATAGCGATCACCGCGGTCATGTCGACTGTAATCGTCAAGGCGATCTCGGCTACCACGATAATTGTCACGGCGATCATCAAGGCGATCGCGACTTCCACCATAGCGTTCACGTTGATCATCAAGCCGATCACGACTTCCACCATAGCGTTCACGTTGATCATCAAGCCGATCACGACTTCCACCATAGCGTTCACGTTGATCATCAAGGCGATCCCGGCTACCACCGTAACGTTCGCGGTGATCATCAAGGCGATCCCGGCTACCACCGTAACGATCGTGCTGTTCATCGAGGCGATCTCGACTACCACCGTAACGATTACGTTGATCCTCGAGGCGATCTCTACTACCACCGTAACGTTCGCGTTGATCATCAAGACGATCCCGGTTACCACCATAATGGTCACGCTGGTCGTCCTGGTACCGGTGAGAGTCTATATCACTGCCCTTGCCTTCATACCTTTCTTTGCTGCTATTGTAACTGTACTGATCATCTGCAAACTTCTGCACAACTTCTTCGACTCTGGAAATATTTTGAGGTGCCACATCATTATCCTCATTCTGGCTGGCCTGTTTCTTCTCGCTGTTTGACTTGTTGTCTGAGTATGGTTCTTCACCTTCGGCAGCATCTTGGTCGTAATACCTCATTTCTTCAGGGGAACTAGGAGACAAACACATGAAGGAGCTGGATGGTTGATTGACTGTTTTAATCAAAAATTGTTTAAAACAATTTACAATGACAGAAAAATCCAGAACACACAGTACATACCCCTCAGGATATTTATTCTTCTTGCTCCTTCTCCGACAAAGACAGAAGATGAGAATCCCCACCACCAGGAGCCCTGCGAGGACTCCTCCTATTATAGCTGCTGTGGACCCAATTTTCATGCTGGCTGGAGAAAAAGTAAGTTAATATAATTAAGTCAGGGTTAAACCTTTCATCCAGGGTTTAAAGCTTAACTTTGAGCTGTTGCTGGTTGTCAAGTTATGTTTTGGAGAAGGTGAATTTCAATTGCAATTATTTAAATTATTATGTCAGGCAATTTAAATCACATGGTCATGGTAAAATAATAAAATGCTGACCAATATGTCAATATGGCAGCAGTCCTCAGACAAGCTGCCTCTTTTTATAATGAAATGAGAACTCTGCACTCACTGTGATGGCTTGTCAACCACAACCTGTTAGCCAATGAACGTACCCCCAAAAAACTAAGACTCTTTGAAACTAAGACTGGACAAAGTTTACAAAATGGCTCAATGTTTTCTTTAATATGATCCAAAATGAGTGACCGAGACCATGAACACATCAGGAAAGTGTTTACAAAGGTCAAGCGAAAAGCTGCTTTCTCATAGACCTCAATAGGACCTGAAGATTTTTATTAACCACAGCTATTGCCCCCTGGTGGCCATTAAAA